TTTTGTGTATTTAGATTGTTGTCCTTCCCCCGCACCTCCAATTAGCACGGCTGGTTATGTGCGGTGAGAAAGACGTTCAACATCCACACATACCTGTTCCTGTGGTTTATTTTACATTTGAATCGTGTGAATTCAGGAGGGAAGCTTGAGAATAAACCTCTGGAAAACCGAGCTGTGATTGGTCTCTGTCGTGTATTCGCATTGCACCGCGTACGGTTGAGAGGACGATCCCAAAGACCAGGTCAACCGTGCACAACCCAGCTGCTCAACCTTGCGCGGCACACCGAGGATGGTTTCAAGAATTGGTTTGACTACGGGAGCTGTATCCGTAGACCGGCTGGGCAGTCTACGACGCCGAAAATCATCGACGGATACTCACCAAGCTGCCGGAGGTGACTGAAGACCTGTACGTCGAACCAAACTCATCCGCACTCGTAGAACTGGATGTAAAGCAGAGTCGCTTTCCATCCAGCTTGCACCATCACTGTTTAACATCCACACCAACGCTCAGCCAATCCACCCCAGATACCGTTAGTCTCATTTACGTGGACGACCTCTGTGTGACAGCCCAATGCAGGGACTTTCACCGTGTCGTTAATGACCCTGACGGCGACTTTAACGAAAACTAACAACCGCTACTTCGAGGAAGACCAACTGCGAGCCGACCCGAGTAAGACCCCGAATGTGCACCTTCTCTAGACGCAAGAGGCACGCGAAGCACGGACTCTGTATCACAAGGATCGGCGTAAAACTGTCTTCACTGCTCAAATGCTGTCTTCCTCGGTGTGACACTAAACCACTTTACCAGCATATACCAGCTGCCAGTCGACTCAAATCGCGTAAGAGTATGACACGTACCACCACCACGGAATCTATCAGGTCATCTCCACCACCACCACGGAATCTCTCAGCTCATATCCACCACCACCACGGAATCTCTCAGCTCATATCCACCACCACCACGGAATTTATCAGGTCATCTCCACCACCACCACCACCACCACGGAATCTCTCAGCTCATATTCACCACCACCACGGAATTTATCAGGTCATCTCCACCACCACCACGGAATCTCTCAGCTCATCTCCACCACCACCACCACCACCCCCACAGAATCTCTCAGATCACCTCCACCACAGAATCTCTCAGATCATGATAATAGGGTTTTCCCCTTTTATCTGGCAACTAAACAGGTGTGAACATGTTAAAACACCAAACGTAAACTTTTTTTTACAAGGAATCCTGTCTACATTAACCACAATGCTTGTGGTCAGAATGCAAACAAAAAACATACTCTGTTATTATATTTTGGTATTGGCAAAGGAGGCCCCATGCTGTCGACTCTCAGCTGATCTCCAGCGAGCACGCGGGCTCCAACTGTGGAGCGCACAACAGCGAGGAGCTGCTAAGACGAGACGTCGAGGAGGGAGACTCTTCCGCCAGGGTCAGCGGAGCCACGGCCAATTTGGTGGCGCCTGGCGGCGTTGGCTGCTGGAAAGTAAACCGCAGCAAGTAGGGTATTCCCAACCAGGCCCAGCCACACGCACTGTGTGCTTGTGTTTGCGGTGAAGAGCGGACGATGCCTCAATCATTTGCTCCGGTGTCATCTGTTGGAGCCGTCCACAGCTGATGATGTGGGCACCATTAATGAGCATGCCAAGGCTTCTGTGGCCCACACGTTGTCAGTAATCGAGGTTGCAATGATGGACACGACATTAATGAGTGGATTTTGGAAGTTTTGTTTTTTTAATCGTGCGGTTGTTAATTGTTACCTTTTTGTCTATTTTGTACTTCCGTCGGTTATTGTTGTATTGTTTGTTGTTGTAACTTGCTGAACCCGCCCCTACTGAACATCTGTGAAAAAGAGCTTCATAGCTCATCGGATTTCCTCCAATCTTTAAGATTAAACTCATAAATACTGAGCGGATTTTCGAACTATGCGGAATTGCTTCACTGATAACGCGGTTGTAAAATACATCTTTTAATAAAATATCGGTGGAGAAAGGAGTGTGTGCCCTGGAAATATTCATCCTGGACAGGGGCGGAGCCACAGGGGGGGCTAGGGGGCTCAGCCCCCCCTGAAGTTTTGTGAAAGTCGGTAATCGGGATAACCGGATATCCGGCTGCTGCAAAATGCTGCAGGCTGCCACCTCGTGCTGCCCTGCTGGCTGCCACTTTGTGCTGCCCTGCAGGCTGCCACCTCGTGCTGCCCTGCAGGCTGCCACCTCGTGCTGCCACCTCGTGCTGCCCTGCAGGCTGCCCCCTTGTGCTGCCCTTCAGGCTGCCACCTTGTGCTGCCCTGCAGGCTGCTTGAGCGGCAGCCTTTCCAACTTAGCGAACTTATTAGCCACAGTAGCGGCTCCGACCTGTTAATAAACTCCGCGTTCAAATCCAATAAAATTTATTTTATACATTTGTGGCGCCCATTGGAAAACATAAACACTGGATATCTCAGAATATTGAAGTTAGCCCCCACAAAGTCAAAATCCTGGCTCCGCCCCTGATCCTGGATGACAATTGTAGCGACCAATATGACACGTGCATCTCTCCATGATTCTCTGTGCACTCTTCAGCCCTTATATTCTTGGTTCGTTCGGTAAAGTCACGTAGAAGGGAAACAATAAAATAATAAAAATATAAAACAATACAATTCTCACGACGTTTCGACTGCAACACAAGCAGTCATCATCAGGTGTGAAAACCACAGCAAGAAAATTTGAAAAAAGTTGCGGTTATTTTTAACGTTAGCACCACGGATAGCGATTTGACAGCTTGTTCAGATGGACGAGTCCATCTATGTTCGGAAAAGAGGAGGGGGAGACGAAAATAATGGATGCGGTCTGAAAGCCACCGTAAGCGTGAACAATGAATTAAGACCCGAAATGGTTTATCAAATCCTTCCAATGATTGCTAAACCAGAATCCATCTTCTCGGTTGAAATTGTCTCTGTATTTGTATATGTGGATAGCCTCATGAACGAATCTCTCATGGTAGCCAGATGGCTTACAAAGAACCTCTGTCTTGGAGAAGTCAATGTCACGTGAACCTACTGAATTATAACAGTGATCTGCCACGGCCGAGGTGTTGGTCCTACCGTGTTTTGGGTCTGCTTTGTGTTCACGAATGCGGTCACGTCTCGGAATAAACACAAGATCCAGGTCCGATTCAACACATTACATAAAATCCGTGATCTGGTTCCGTCTGTAAAAGATGTGGTTCCAGACATACAGTACCCGGGCGTCTACAAACTAAGTTGCCTCTGTGGTAGCAGCTACATTGGAGAAACCAAACGACATATCTCGGACCGCATCCGTGAACATAAAGAAGACTTGAAACACGGTAGGACCAACACCTCGCCCGTGGCAGATCACTGTTATAATTATTCAGTAGGCTCACATGACATTGACTTCTCCAAGACAGAGGTTCTTTGCAAGCCATCTGGCTACCATGAGAGATTAGTTCATGAGGCTATCCACATATACAAACACAGAGACAATTTCAACCGAGAAGATGGATTCTGGTTTAGCAATCATTTGAAGGATTTGATCAACCATTTCGGGTCTTAATTGATTGTTCACGCTTAAGGTGGCTTTCAGACCGCAGCCATTATTTTTCGTCTCCCCCCTCCTCTTTTCCGAACATAGATGGACTCGTCCATCTGAACAAACTGTCAAATCGCTCTCCGTGGTGCTAACGTAAAAAAACGCCACTTTTTTCAAATTTTCTTGCTGTGGTTTTCACACCTGATGATGATTGCTTGTGTTCCAGTCGAAACGTCGTGAGAATTGTATTGTTTTATGTTTGTATTATTTTATTGTTTCCCTTCTAGGTGGTGACTTTACCGAAAGAACCAAGAATATGAATCCCTGCAGTCACGAAAGCTTTAAATCTTCAGCCCTTGTTACGTTTTCCTCGGCAGTGCCCGGGTTTCCGATCCACGTGTAATACGTACGGTGCAAAAGAAGTGCAACATACATATGTAGAGACACAGTTGGAGGTCTCTGGGTGTCGTGCCTTGATTGGAGGAATTGAGGGCACGTGACCGGAAGCGGGGGCGCCGTCCTTGCTAGAGCTAGGGCAATCGGGGTCGTTTTGCGGATGAAGCTTGCTAGCACACACACACACACACACGCCTAGGGGAGCGGCCGAAACCAAGTTAGTAACAGAACCCAGCGTACAGTTAATAAACGCGTTGCCCCCAACAACGCTACTCTCTGGTTCTTTCGGTAGTCTTTTATTTCTTTTTTCCCCATCTACCCGCGTGACTTTACCGAAAGAAGCAGAGAGTATGGATTCCCGCAGTCACTAAAGCTTCAAAATCAAGATCCAACAACGGTGTCCGTGCGCCTCAGTCGACACACACTACACATTACAAAGACTTTCTGTCCACACATTGGGAGGTTGCAAGTGATCATGTAAATTCTCCACAAACACACTTCTGTCGTCTGCGTCTTTAGTCCGTCAGTTTTATTCTAGGCTAAATTTCCACAACTGCCCCAGCTGTCCTTTCCCCGTTGTGTCACTTCCAACATAGACCTTAATTTGTTACGGCAACGTGGCGTAAGTTTTATTTTATTTTGGTCATGTTAATCTTGAGACCAACTTTGCGGCACTTTTATGATAATTGTGTTGTCTGCCATAATTTCCCGTCATCAATTCCACCCATTGTTACAATAACTAATACGTGTTTACACAAAACGTGAAATACCTAAATTATGGAATTATGCATCAATCATTATTTTGCTCGAAAATGGCGCTAAAAACGATGTGAATGATCACAGCTCTATGGGCTAATTATCGCGTGTGCACACATTGTTCACAAACGCTACTGGCAACAGAATAAAACATTTAGAGGCCAAACAACCACACAAGAAGAGAATTATATGAAGAAACGGTCTCTCTACCATCTACCGCACACATTAGATTTCAGCAAAGAGTAATGAATTCGATATATATATCATAGTGCCTAGCCTTTGCAGACCATAAAATTACACTTTAATTCATGGAGATCACTTTAATACAATTATCCAAGATCTCGAAAACCAAGACATACATGGAAATCATACTCAATTTCGAAGTAAAATCACTGCAGCTCACACCGAAGTCACAGAGAGCAAATCAGAAGGCTGCGTTGGACGAGAGAACGCCCCTCGAACAAAGCTATTCAGAGTTTAAACACGTATAAATGGATAACATTAACCATATCAGATTTGCTCATGACAACTACAAGCTACGGCAGCGTGGTTGTAGGTAATATTTTTTGTAAATGCCGAAGTTTTCTTTTAATAACACGGTGACGAGATGCCTGTGCGGCGTACATTTGCCGATAGGCGTAAAGTTGCAGTTACAAGGTGCAATTGCTTTGCAACGTTGCCAAAATACAATGTTGCTATCCTGCGTTTAAAGTGGGCTGCAGCGTGGAGTCAATATAGTTGCATGTGGCCTTGAAACTTTTTTTTTGCACGTGTCGTTTCACACGCAACAAGCACTCTGTTGGATATGGCCATGTGGTCGCCATGGCGATGCTCAATCCAACATGGCTGAATGTAACGTATATAAATATATATTTTGGTCACCAACCAAACTGCACCACTGATTTGAGACAAATGTAGTTTCATCATAACCTGTCAACCCATACGATTTACCCGTATTCTTGTACAGGGAAATTGAGTTGTTAGGTCCACACAGCGTATAGCCGTTTCAATACGGGCAACAACTAAAATTGTCTATTTGTTTGTGTTTCTCCCTTGTGATGGGACAGGATGAACGTTGAGATTTATGAGGGGCACGGCGTGACCAATAAGGTCTGAATTGGTCTGTAATAAGGTAGGCACTGATAAGGGGTTGACAGGTATGGAAATGTGGGGACAGGATAAGTTTATTGGATGGGCAGAAACAATTTTGGAATGTTGATGCCATCAAAAGGCCACCATTTAAGCCACACAAACCATAGGGGTGAGGCCAGAAAACGGCAGATTTCTCTCAAATCGAAAGCACGACCCAGCCCGTGCGACACATGACTGTCAACGCGTTCATTATACAACACGCGGCCATGTGTTTCAGGGCATTTTAATTCTGCGACAAAGTTCCTCTCCCGTGTGTTGTACCATTAAGTTCAGCTTAAGACTACAATCAGTTGAGCGCAACAGAGGCAACGCTCGCCTGTGTAGCCTCAACAGGCTTACGGGGGAAGTGCTGTTGGTCACATCTCATCTCACGCTTCCACCGTGAACCCACCACTCCCATGTTGGTGGCAGTCCCCCCCCTCCCTGGACACGTAGTCTCCGTTCCACCACCGGTCTTGTCCCTTGCTTTAGTTCACGAGGTGAATCGTGAACGTGCAACGTTTTACACCGATAGGTTGCACCGTGGTTAGAACGCTGGTCTCCAAAGAAAGTAGATCGCGGGTTGATTCCCTTCCAGGGGTCAACTGAACCTAATGTATGTGGCATCCATAGAAATTCGTTCCACATTACAGAGTCGTTGCTATGGATCGACTGGCACCCACCATGGGAACGTGGAATTACCACCAACGTCTCTAGGTAACTGACGGAGGGGAGTGTTGCCCCATTCTCAGTGTAAGCAGACCAGTGGTTCTTAACCTATACTCCAGCCTTGCACCCTTTGGTTCTCAATCGTAAAAAAAATGTATAATGTTAATAAGTACATTACAGAGTCGTTGCTATGGATCGACTGGCACCCACCATGGGAACGTGGAATTACCACCAACGTCTCTAGGTAACTGACGGAGGGGAGTGTTGCCCCATTCTCAGTGTAAGCAGACCAGTGGTTCTTAACCTATACTCCAGCCTTGCACCCTTTGGTTCTCAATCGTAAAAAAAATGTATAATGTTAATAAGTACATATGGTTGATTTAAAAAAAAAGTAGTTGTACTTACACGACCGAGCTTCATTTGTGTTTCAATGACTTACCTTCTAAAACAAATCTGGCCATCTCTGGCACCCCCAGAAAGGGCATCTCTCACCCGCAGGGGGTGCACGCACGCCAGGCTAAGAACCACTGCCCTAGACAGACCGTGAATGTTATGATATATAAGCTGGGACCAGCCCTTCTTCCTACACGCGAGCTTCATCTTTATTCCTTCATAAAAATGAGCAAACTGAAGCCACGTGAGACTTGTGCCCTCAACCACCTTTGTCTGGTTACATCTTAAGCCTCATGAATGTCTTATGTTGACTATTGCAGTTTAGAAGTATATTCACCCTCGCCGGAAGATGGGCGAGTATTTGCTCGCATTCGACATTTATAAAATGCTTCCCTCTAGTAATGGAATGGTAGCATAACCTATTTCTAGTCACTTTTTTTACCTAGGTCAAAGGGTGTTACAGAGTTCATTATCAGTACTGAAGGTCTTACGTTCATATCGGTCAGAATGAACCCTCGTCTGACTGCGCACGATGAAAGCAACCCGGGCGAGCGCCGTGACTGACGCACACCTACGTGAGGAAGAATTAAAAAGGCAAAAGAGCGAGCGAGCGAGAGACAGAGAGGGAGAGAGCATTACTGCCGGCCGGGAACGCGCCCCCATCTGCCCACTCGAGATTCTCTATCACTCTCCGCGCCAAGGTGGAGGGGGGAGGCGAACGGAGAACCCGGCCGGATGGCACGACCTCCCATGGTCCCCTTCGCGTGCGCCTCAGGCTGCGGCCGAACCGACGTGCGAACGCAGTCTGTAACGGAAGAGGACGTCGCGCTTGGGGATCAACAGGCCCATGCCCACGCGGCTCATGTCCATGCCGACGTCCGGCTGGCCGGGCAACAGCTCCAAGTCCAGCAGGGCGAGCAAGTGGAAGATGAAGTCCTTGACCTCGGTCAGGGCTAAGAAGCGGCCGGGGCAAATGCTGTTGCCGGAGCCGAACGGCATGAGGTACTGCTGGAGGCGCCGCCCGTTCTTGTAGAAGGTGGTCTTCTCCTTGCCATCTTGCACAAAGCGGTCGAACTTGTAGACCTGGGGAGACGGTGGAGGGCGGCGTCACGCCGACGGGAAGGGGTCACGCGGGCACCACGCGGCCATTCGCCCCCCCCCCCCACTCGGAGAAGCCGAATTGTAAGCAAACGTCGCGCAAAAAGGTGAATGAACGAGAGTCCATCTCAACGCGTGAATCACTCCTTCGAAAACGCCAACACTCAACGCACCGCTCATCCACCAACACTCCTCCACAGACACTCAACGCACCGCTCATCCACCAACACTCCTCCACGGACGCTCAACGCACCGCTCATCCACCAACACTCCTCCACAGACCACAGACGCCCAACGGCCACGGCACTCATTCAGCAGCGGTGGGGTGGCACCTCAGGCTGCTCGTAGATGTCCGGGTCGGTGTGCAGCGTCTGCAGCGAGAAGGAGATCTTGTCGCCCTTGCGGAGCTTCAGGGTGAAGCCGCTGTCCATCGTGATGGCCACGTCCTCCATGGCCACGCGGATGTTCATGGGCGCGCTCGTCAGGCGGAGGCTCTCGTTCACCGCGCTGCCTGATGCGCCGATTCCGTGGCGGGGTTCACGCGGCAGGGGTCAGGGCGGTGGGGTGTCAAAGAGAAGGGATCAGGAGGAGGAATCAATGTACGCTGATGTACGTACGTATGAAAATTTAACTTCCTTTGCACCGTACGTAGCCAAGCGTGCCTATCGGTGGTGAGGGGGAAGGACAACAAACTAAAGTACATAAATAAGTCCTAAATAAATTAGTTTTCAGTAAATGAATGAAGGTGGTGGGGTCGAGGTGGAGGGATCAAGGTGGAGTGGTCGAAGTGGAACTTCATCGGCCCCATCGTTGCTGATGAACTAACAGGAAGGGCACGAGATGACTGTGACGACGCATACTCCTTCCGATCCGTGCTCGCCAATTAACGCATCTCCGAAATAGCGCGTCTGGCTACATGCGGCGCGAAAGAAGTTCAACACGCACGTACGCAAGATACGTACGTAACGATCCGAAAAACAATTCCACGCCCCATCGGCACGCCACAACCCACCGAGCATGAGCATGGCGTTGAGGTCCTCACGGCTGCGGCACAGCGGGGAGCCCAGCTTAAGCGGCGCTCCGCTCTTCCCCAAGATGGCGTCCACCTCGTCACGCAGGGCCCGCTGCGCAAGGGGACACCGCAGGAGGTGGTAGAGGCTCCAGAAGATGGCGGGCACCGTGTTGGCGACGGAGCCCCAAAGGAAGGCCAGGTGGTGCCCTGTGTGGGGTGTTGGCGGGGGTGCGGGTGGGGGGGGGGTGCGATCGGGTAGACCGGCGTGCATTGATGAAGCGCACGGCAGAGAAGACGCTGGGTGGCTGCCATGAGGTTTTTGGCGGCCGTGCAGCCGCGCGGCTCTCCGTGTTGCTTTCGGGTTGTTGCCGTGCGCTGTTCGGCACGCGGTCCGACGTTCGTCCGATGTGCCGAGAGATTATTAAAGTTCAGTTCTCACGGATTGCATTCAAGCAAGCGGAACGGAACGTCGGACATCACGCCAAACAGCGCACAGTCAACCCTGAAAACCCATCGGAAACATATATTACGTTGTGCATGAAAGTAGGTTTGGTTGGGTTGGCGACCCACCCTGTCAAATGGCATTCAAACTGAGAAAATGTAATTTTCAGAGCTGTAAAAATTTGCTAAATTAAGTACAGAACCACATTTGTTGGGATATTTTATAGGTCACTGGAGACTGGACTCAGACTAGCAACTCGTATTGCCCCGAGCAACATCATCTCTTTAAAAAGAAGGTACTCCGGTGATTTGTTGCCCAGTTCCTATACTACAAGTGATATGCCAATGTTATTTGGTTTCGGGAGATGCTGAAAGAGCCCAGATACTGTGCAAGTGCTGAGCACCTTGAACAAAAAAAATTGCAACATAGATTAATGATGATGTTAAATATTTACCCAGGAAATTTGGATTCATATATAGCATCTAAATTCAACTGCGGTACAAGCCAAGAACACCTCGGAGAGCTGTGAAACCTTCCCGTTCAACCCGCGGAGCTTCCCATTCAGGAAAACAACGCTTGAGTTTTCACGGTCGACATTATGATTCACATTTCGTTTTTGGGTCAGGCCACGAAATTATCTCGCCAACTCTGTGCCGTTAAGACTCCTCCACCACACGAAAGCAGCTGGACCAATTAAAACCAATTTAAAAAATTAAGCGGCATACCAGCATTCAACTTTGCACAAATTATTATTATTGTCTCGGCTCGCCGGTAAATCAACGAACAATTCCGACTTAGTGGATCTAGTCCATCTGACAATGGTAGACCTTCGTTTCAAACGAAACGTTGTTGCGAATCGCTCGACCTGTCGCGAGCATTGCTCTTACAACTTACCGGCGGTGGGCTGAAACGATTTGCATGCGCGGCAATTAAGCACGCCTGGCTGCGTCGGGGCGGCGAGCCGTCTCGACGACACGCATTTGGCAAGATCGTTTACCTTGTCGAACCCGAAAAAAGAAATGACCGCAACCGTTGGAACAAATTCCGCACCTCGTCGCTCACTCACCTGCCTTGTGGGTGTCCCGCATGTTCTTGTTCGCGTCCCACACGCTCATCCTCGACTGCACGATAACGGAGATGTTGTGGCGGCGCGCCAGCTTCTCGTGCGTGAGCTCTCGCTTCAGCTCGTCGCGGTGGTGTTTCGTGGAGCCCAGCAGCCACAGGGGCACCCCGGCTGAGATGAGCGGCAGCACCTTGTCGAACGGCTCAAAGTGCGCCTGCAGCCTCTTGCAGAGGCGGTGGTCGTCCTCGGCGTCCCCCGACGTGCCGTACAGCATCACGAAGGTCACCTCGAATATGAGGCGCTGGCAGAAGCTGAAGAGGGAGTCCGTGCGCCAGCCGTGGGCGTCGCCTGCCGTCCTGCCCACCACGGCCTCGTCCAGCTCGTGGAAGACCACCTGCTGCAGCTTCATCATCACGATGTTGGTCACGTTCGTGAGCTCGGCACCCTGCGTGGACGACGGAGCCGGGGTTGGGGTGGAGTGGGGGGTGGGCGGGAAATGTCCAGGGAGTTGTGGAGGCCAAGTTTGAATTGATGTGACTGAGCGAGGTGAGAGCTCGAGAAACCAGGGAAATTGCAAGAGTGAGCCGTGTCGCCAGCGTGACGAAAGCAATCAAGTAAAAGAGCGGCGGCCGTCAAGTACCGTGAATATAAATCGGAGTGGCAACGACCGCGTCAAAGGAGAAATCGAAAATACGACACCGAAACGACTGAATACAAAAACGAGAACCTACTTCCTGAAAACCAACATCGGCTCGGACGAACCACTTTCAGAAACCGTTCGGGGGGAGGGGGGGGGGGGGCTGCCGTGAAGTCACGGAGACCATGCCACGCAAGGTTTTGAAGCGCAAAGCTTCATCCCTCTCCCGCATCGATCACCAGCCCGCCCAATCCCGGATTTCCCAAAAAACAGAACGACGGTCTGGCCTCACCTGCAGGAAGGTGTAGTGTCGCAGCACATCGTCGTTGCACACGCCCAACAGGGGATCGTCGACGTGGGGGTGGTCGAAGTTGATGCAGGAGAACTTGGAGGAGAACTCGTGAAAGTTGAGCTGCTTCCCGTGCCGGATGATCGACGGGAACATGTGAGGGTCCATCAGGAAGGTGAAGTAGTTGCCTGCGGAAACGACGACAAATGGAGTCAAGAGGCGGAGGTGGTGGGGCGGGGGCGGTGGCCCACGTGGACGCGTTTGAGACGTGCAGGCGTGTCGATGTGCGGGCCGTTTGTAGATCCACTGCAGGATAAGCGCTCAAGCGTGAGCGAGTCGATGGTCTCAGCCCAATCGCCCGATGGCCGGCTCTAAACGAAACGTAATTAAGATTTGAGGTTTCTTCTAACTTGTCGAAATATCAGCTCTGAGAAACAATTCAGTTTGACTGACATACGAACACTCTTTGTGGTGCATAAAACGGTGTGACCCTTGCGCGGATAGAGAGGCCTGCTGAAGTGACCTCAGAAGTAGCTCTGTGATCCCATCTTTCAAGGGCCCTTCCCCCAACACCAGGTGCTGCACTCCTCAATGCAAACGTTTCCAAATGAAAATGCGCTCGTCTCACTTCATGACACACGGAGCTCAGATTAAATAGAAATCACGACAACAAAAACAACTGTTTAAAATGACCCTTAGACTATCGTTAATGTACCATCTGCTTATCGACAGCGGGCAGTATCAGGCACACGGACACGGAGATTGCAGCGCTGGGCTGTGAAGGATGGTGACGGCATGCGGGGGTCTTCATCCAACAGTGGACAGACAGTGGCTGATTATGATGCTGATGAGTCGGAGAAACGACAGTACGCTTGCAGCTGCCGCCATCCCAAGTCATCCGATGCTGCATATAAATTGTAACTAGGGGTGGCGCAGATATTACTCGCCACTGGTTTTAGCCGTGCCCAGGATGGAACTCAGGCTGCTGGGTTCGCAGAGAGAGCAACGCTAACCACTGCGCCCACCGTTCCACCCATATATATATTTTTTAAATAACATGTATGAATAATGTAGTCGGTGTGAGCTTACCTGTGATGAATAGGATGTATAATTGTGCACTCTGCTACCTGTTGCTGTCATGACTACAGAGTGCCAGGGGGGAAAAAAATACTCCATCGATTTCATATTCTTTGGTTCTTTCGGTAAAGTCACGTCAATAGAAACCACAACGTTTCGATCGCCACACAAGCGGTCGTCATCAGGCAATCGAAACGTCGTGGTTTCTGTCTACGTGGCTTTACCGAAAGAACCGAAGAATATGAATTCCTGCAGTCGCGAAAGTTTTAAGTCAGACCTCCATCGATTCTTACACGTGCATACTTCGCGAACTTGGGAGGTGACATGCATCGATAGGTTTGATGCGTCAATGTACGCAACCCGCTCGTGGTGACAGATCACCAAGGGACGTCACAGGTCATAGGTCACAGGTCACGCAGCGGCCAGAGACTAAACCGTGGCTTTTTTAAAAATAAAATGTTGCGACCACCACGAAACCCAGAGGGAGGGGAACGCCCCCTGACTCGGCGTGCTGCCAAATATTCCCGCACCTGGCCCACCACATCCAGAATACCCCCAGCAACGGCTGTGGCCGTGTCCCCCACTGCATTCGTCACTTGGCATCCGAAGCGCGAGTCGAATCGGAGACCCGATTTGCACTTCCAGCCATTGCTTCACTCCGTAGTCGTCTCTCTCTCTCTTTCAAAAGATGACTGGGTGTAGCGGGGGATATTATTTACATCGCCCCTTCTGAGTTCACATTTCACTCTGTGCTTGTGCAGCTGCTGTAACAGTGCCAGCGGCACTGCTATTGACCTGCACGTGACACGAGTGTTATGTAACGTGCGGGCCCCGTGTCTGAGCCGCTGCTGCGGCAGAAGCACATAGCTTCTCCAGCTGTGTCGACTTTGTTGTTGTCCCACCCGCCCCGCCCCGCACCTCCGATTAGCACGGCTGGCTACGTACGGTGCGAAGTTCAACATACACACGTGGGGGGGGGGGGGGGGGGGTTGTGTAACCCACACTTGGTGACCCTGGGCAGCAAAGACGTTTTAAGTATTTGTCTGTGCTGCCCTCTGCTGCTCACAACGTGGCCCCAGGTCTACGAGACGGCACCGGCAGATTGCAGTGCGGACACCGCACGATCTGTATGCCACTGCGCTGGTGCCCATCGACGTTGCTGTGTCGTAGCTCCACCCGTGTGTTTTCCGCCAGCGCAATGTCCGACGTTTTGCCCTCCCCCCCCCCACGAACTGGAGAGAGCTCCTTCGGGTTCTGTTCCCGAAGGATCTCCCAGCAACGTGGAGCAAAACCGTCGGACATGGTGAGGTGCGAGCAAGCGACAACCCCCCGGGGCGGCGACGACCCGACAAACGCATGGCAGAGCGACGGTGCCAGGGCGCCCATGTACCCTGGAGAGCCGACAGAGAGACAGAGACGAGGAGGAGGAGGAGCAGCGGATGGCGCACCATGTATGAGCACCGTGAAGACGTCCCCGTGCTTCTTCTGAAGACGCAGCAGGAACTTGGGGGGGCACTTGGAATACTCCAACACTCTTCCAAAGAAGGGGATCCACGAATGCACCAGAGGGGGCTCCCCCTTGCGCCTGCGCAGCACGGGGGGGTGGATGGTGGTCCGGGGGAGACATGGGGCACATTGAGCAAGATTCCTCCCACGACTGAATGGTTATTACTCCTGAGCGAAGCGCGAAGTCGACCCAAGTCGGAGCCCTGCTGGTGTCACATAAACCAACTATAAAACGATATTGTTTTTTTTTATTGAGCTCAACGAAGTGACTTATCGCGTGGAAATTTACAGCAGCCAAATACTCTAAACACATGTTGATTATAAATGTGGAGGGGAAAACCGGAGATAAATCCACGCGACTACGGGGAGAAAGGCACACGCAAACTCCATATATACAACAGGCGTCAGGGTCGAGATCGAACCCACGATCTCCGGCATTCCAGGCGAGGTAAGTTAACATCTCCTGGCCACCCAATATCTGGGTGGAGCACCCAAATCCTTATCTCCACTGCACTTGACAGAATGAACTGTAATGTACAGCAGTCACTGGGTGATTGATGAACCAATACTCACTAAATGGAAACTGCTTCTACTTTAATGGATCTGTACAAACAGTAACAGTAGCATTTGGAGTCGTTTGGCAAGAACGAAATAACAATTCCACATCCACGGGTCACACCTGCTCTTGAAAACCCAGGTCACTCTCGCAAGCGAGACTCCCCTAGTCTCTTGAGTTCTCACGTGGTTAAATTAAATGTTTTTTGTCCCGGTCCCCACTTGATCTGAGGATTCTGTTAAAACTCTCAGAGGTTTAATTGGGTTACACAACTGCCCTCAAAGTGCCGGGAGCTTCATCACGGCGAGGAGTTTCTATGATTGGTTACCTGTCAACCCATACGGTTTACCCCGTATTATTGTACAGGGAAATACATTTTTCAGGTCCATATGGCATACAGCCGTTCAAATACTGGCAAAAAAATCATGGTACTTTGCAGGATGAACATTGAGATTTATAAGGGACACGGGGTGACCAATACGGTCTGAGTTGGTCTGTAATAAGGGAGACACTGATAAGGAGTTGACAGATTTGTGATTTTGATTTAAAGCTTTCATGACTGCAGGGATTCATATTCTTGGTTCTTTCGGTAAAGTCACGTAGAAGGGAAACAATAAAATATTACAAATATAAAACAATAAAATTCTCACGACGTTTCGACTGCAACACAAGCAATCATCTTCAGGTGTGAAAACCACAGCAAGAAAATTAGAAAAAAGTGGCGTTTTTTTTTACGTTAGCACCACGGAGAGCGATTTGGCAGTTATTCAGATGGACGAGTCCATCTATATTCGGAAAAGAGGAGGGGGGAGACGAAAATAATGGATGTGGTCTGAAAGCCACCGTAAGCGTGAACAATCAATTAAGACCCGAAATGGTTTATCAAATCCTTCCAATGATTGCTAAGCCAGAATCCATCTTCTCGGTTGAAATTGTCTCTGTGTTTGTATATGTGGATAGCCTCATGAACGAATCTCTCATGGTAGCCCCTTCAACAATTCAACAAATCAAATTTTGATTTAAAGCTTTCGTGACTGCAGTAATTCATATTCTTAGTTTTTTCGGTAAAGTCACGTTGAAGAGAAACAACAAAATAATAAAATATATATAAAACAATAAAAAACTATTTATTGGTTTTTTTATTGTTTTATATTTATATATATAAAAACAATTTATTGGGTTTTTTATTGTTTTATATATATTTTATTATTTTGTTGTTTCTCTTCAACGTGACTTTACCGAAAAAACTAAGAATATAATTCAACAAATCGTTACGATTCCTGATCGTTGACCTTGCAATGGCCACTGTGCAGCAAGCGTTATTGGCTCTGTGAGGCTACGCTGGGGCTACATGTGTTTTAGGAATGTTTCTGCTCCCCGCATTCACAACCCCCCACTGACCAGCGTGGCGAAGTATGGTCGTATAACCCCCGTGTCCGACATGGCAACCCCCCCGATTAGCACGGTTGGCTACGTACGGCACGAAAGAAGTTCACCATCCACAATAGAGGTTTTTGGGTTCGATCGCGTAAATGTGAATGTGTCGTTGTACCCGCTACCACCCGACACAGCCAAACTTGTAAGGTTTGCCACGTAAACGAAACGTGCCAATTCGTCACTAGTTCAGCACACACCGGCCGTGTGTTGGAGAGTAAAACCCACAACGTCGTCGACGTGAGCGCGGGAGGGACCTCGTCCAGCTGCAGCGACGGCTCGTGAGTGACCTCTGAAAAGACGGCGTTCTAATTAAGAACAACCTCGTCATGTTATTGGCCTTCGCGTGGAAGTGATATAAGCGTGTTATCTACCAACGGTAGGCATTTATAAACAGAACGAAACAAAAACAGCAAAGCACTCAAATGCTGTCCCCATGACCCTCAAGTCCACACTACCCAACCCCTTTGACACTGCCAAAAGCTGTGAGCTGCTTTATTTTTTGCACGGTGCATCCTCCTCGCGTCGTGACTTCGTTTCTCGTCACAGCCACGGGCGTCTTCTCCACCGCCCTGAATGGGTCTCAAACGGCGTGGTTACAACGCTGGAGCGAATCGCGACGAAGGGAGGCAATCTCTCACTCGGAGGACGCCTTCACAGCCACCCCGAGCCCTCCCCGAGGCACAACTCAGACTACGGTGGTGCAGCCGTTTCTAATGTGAACAACTTAAAATGTTATCTTCATTAGGCAATTCGCTTTGAAAGAATCATTATATTTATAGAAGAGTATTTTTTATTACAAAAATAATTTCTCATGTCCAGCTGCTGGCGCCCCGACGCCCCTAGTGAACGAACCGCGCCTGTCCAGCAGTGGATCGACAAAAACGCTGCACGCGTCCATGGCACGTGCGGCGCGTCCAGGGCACGTCCAGGGCACGTGCGGCGCGTCCAGGGCACGTGCGGCGTGCCAGTGCAGGCTGGGGGGGGGGGCTGCCAATGGCACTGACCTCGCCAGGTCCTCTCCAGACTGAGCTCCATCGGCGCTCGTGAGCCCGCCCGCCCGGCCTTGTTTACCGAGTGCTGCTGCGGGTCCCCGTACGCCCTCGAGTGTTACTGTGTGTGTCAAGGCCGTAGCCATGGAGTCAACATTGGGGGGGACCAAATCTTCCAGGGTGTCTGGGGGTTCCAACCCAGAAAAATATTGAAATTTGAAAACTCATTTCCTGCCTAAAATATTTTAAAAAATCACGAACACATGGGATGGATTTTTTCTTAATTTTTTACAATAATGTCTAATAGTGTATTGTATTACATTGCTCTGTTTTTACTTTTTTTACCGTTTCTTGTTTCATTGTATGTGTAGTGGAGTACGAAGGTGCGTTGTGGAAACGGCGTGATTACATGATCACACAGACAGTACGGGTTATCTTGGGTCAGCCTGTAGCAAAGGCGAATACAGTGCAGGTTATGTTGGGGCAATTAAGCTGGGGTAGCCGTGGACGGCTGTGATTGGTTGGTGCTGTTGCCGGGGCTGGAGAGGCGTCTGGAAGTCTGGCGAGAAACAGGTGTACGGATCACGCGGGGTGCCGTTGGGACGCGGGTTAATTAATTGGGGGTGTAATGAGAGCGGGGATAAGAACGGGAGTCGGAGTCAACAGCGGAGGTTGAATGGTGGAGAGCTTGGAGTTGAGTTGAAGGAGTTGAGCTTGGAGATAGGTTGAAGTTGGAGAGCTTAGGAGAGCTGGAGTGAAGAGTTGCAGTTTGGAGAGCTTGGAGTCAACAGGGGGAATTGAAGTGTGAAGAGTTTGAAAGACAGAGTTTGAAAGACAGAGTTTGAGAGACAGAGTTTGAGAGACAGAGTTTGAGAGACAGAGTTTGAGAGACAGAGTTTGAGAGACAGAGTTGGAAGACAGAGTGGAAGGGAGACGGAGTTGGAGACGGAGCTTGGAGGCAGTGTAGCGATAGCGGAGCTGAAGACGAGAACAGCCAGTAGTGGAGAGAGCATAGTGACGGTGATAGCGGTGAACGGGGATGAAGCAGTAGCAATGGAGTGAGCATAGTGACGGTGATAGCGGAGAGCGGAGACGAAGAAGTTAGCGGCGGAGTAAGCGAAGTGATAGTGGGGAGTAAGTGAAGTGATGGTGGGGAGTAAGTGAAGTAATAGTGGGGAGTAAGTGAAGTGATAGTGGGGAGTAAGTGAAGTGATAGTGGGGAGTAAGTGAAGTGATAGTGGGGAGTAAGTGAAGTGATAGTGGGGGAGTAAGTGAAGTGATAGTGGGGAGTAAGTGAAGTGATGGTGGGGAGTAAGTGTAGTGATAGTGGGGAGTAAGTGAAGTGATAGTGGGGAGTAAGTGAAGTGATGGTGGGGAGTAAGTGAAGTAATAGTGGGGAGTAAGTGAAGTGATAGTGGGGAGTAAGTGAAGTGATAGTGGGGGAGTAAGTGAAGTGATGGTGGGGAGTAAGTGAAGTGATAGTGGGGAGTAAGTGAAGTGATGGTGGGGAGTAAGTGAAGTAATAGTGGGGAGTAAGTGAAGTGATAGTGGGGAGTAAGTGAAGTGATAGTGGGGAGTAAGTGAAGTGATAGTAGGGAGTAAGTGAAGTGATAGTGGGGAGTAAGTGAAGTGATCTTGGGGAGTAAGCGAAGTGATGGTGGGGAGTAAGTGAAGTGATAGTGGGGAGTAAGTGAAGTGATAGTGGGGAGTAAGCAAAGTGATAGTGGGGAGTAAGTGAAGTGATAGTAGGGAGTAAGTGAAGTGATGGTGGGGAGTAAGTGAAGTGATAGTGGGGAGTAAGTGAAGTGATAGTGGGGAGTAAGTGAAGTGATAGTGGGGAGTAAGTGAAGTGATAGTGGGGTGTAAGTGAAGTGATAGTGGGGAGTAAGTGAAGTGATAGTGGGGAGTAAGTGAAGTGATAGTGGGGAGTAAGTGAAGTGATAGTAGGGAGTAAGTGAAGTGATGGTGGGGAGTAAGTGAAGTGATGGTGGGGAGTAAGTGAAGTGATAGTGGGGAGTAAGTGAAGTGATAGTGGGGAGTAAGTGTAGTGATAGTGGGGAGTAAGTGAAGTGATAGTGGGGAGTAAGTGAAGTGATG